TTATAGGTTAATGAAAAGTCGTAACCTGCAGGGTTCTGTTGAGAACTAGAGCTTATACAAAGTTTCATCAACGAAAACACATATGAGTAACTCGTACTTATTTATTAAGATGAAATTCACAAAACTGAAGTGTTGTATTTCTTAAACCTTTGTATATTTAAAACTATGCACAACTATTTCAACTTCTTTTCCATCCATAGGTTGTTTACCTTGAAATAACCATAAATTAATGTGAAGTGGAACATTGGCCACGGGCATGTACTGTTGATAGTTCGACGGTGTCGTATATTGGAAAAATTGATTTGTATTTGAATCGGTGAAACCATGTAAACTTTCCCATGCCACCTGTTTCGAACTCCATGCGAATCGATGTGTCGTGTATGTTCCACTGAGACTGATTTTTGTACCAGATGAATTTGTCGGTAGACCGACTTTCTTTGGATAAACAGTATAAAATAAATTGTATGCTTGACTCGATGTTTGTCCCCATTTAGCCATTTCAATATCGATTTCATTCTCTTGATCGGTGCCGCCATACGTGAAAAATCCTAACACAATGTTCGGATCAAATTTATCGATTTGACCTTCGACAAACCATTGGTACGTGCCAAAACCAAATTTTTCTGTCGTATATAATTCGGCACACGACCAAATGCCGTTTGAATAGACAATTTTTAAATGTAAGTTATTTTGTGAATCTAACCAGACATTATCGGATGACCAACGATTGGGACCGGGACCTTGTGAAATAGCATCCTTGAGGTACCACGTATAACCAGACCAGTTAATTGATTTTTGACCAAACACGCCTGCTAAAAGACAACCATATGTAACATACTTCTGTTCATACACTTTTGTACTTTGATCGGATGTGGAGAAAGTTTTGTAAGATTAACAACTTACCTTTCAGTGCTATTATTGTTGCAACCAATATGAATGAGTATAATTTAATCATGATTTATAGTAGAATGAGAAAACGATATATGAAGCAAAGCTTTTTCAGTTTTCGTCTTTTCTCTTTCTATTTAAACACGTTACTTGAGCCAAATAAATTACTCTTGTTATTAATGTATAATAGCTGAGTCAATAAGCTTTGTACGAAAATGACGGTTTGAGTTATTTATTGGTTTGAAGTATAGATATATATGGCCAAAAACACGGGCTATGGTTTTGGCCCTTTACAGGTTTTAAAACCGCTCGGCCGAAATTCTAGATGCTTGGAGGTCATTTTTGAATTATTGATACTCTAAAAGAGATGTCGTGCATTTCAAAATCACATTTTCATATTCACTTTGTGACGCTGAATTCGAGAAAAAAGGTTTCAAAACTTCAGAATGAGATGGTAGAAAACTAGAATCATTTTTCTGGTAGGACGAGTCTTTTCCGTTTAGAGCACTCTTTTCGTATTTCGCGATTTTCATCGAGAAGGAAAGGTCGTGAAGAAAAAAAAAGATGTAATATTCGGATTTAGCTCGCATTCCTGTATCAGAATATGCCTGCTAAAGTCAAAAATAAAACAGTGCTTAAACTTTGAATTGCGTGCGCCTTAATAACATGAGGAAAAGAGCCTCTCTCTCCTTTGTCACTCATCAATATGCAGAAAAAGACAGACGAATAGTAATTGAAGAAGAAGGCAGTGGTGCACTTGCATCGTGATTTTAGACGTTGTTTTTGTTCTAAAATACAACGGTCTGACGGCTTCAAAGTGCATTCAGCCTTCAAAAATAAAACCGTGCATAAAGTTTGAACTATGTGTGCCGTACGAAAACATTAGTTGATGACAAAAAGTGTGATTGTCGACAAAAACAGACTGTAAAGTATTTCTTGCTTGAATGTCCACTCCATCTATCTGAACATCGTTTCAGACCATAGTTGTTATGATAAAAGGTGTGTTTAAAATTTCTTCTTCTTCGTGATAATTT